GGGGAGTTAAAATCGATTTTAAGTCATGTACACCGGGGACCACTTAGAATCGATTTCAAGTGACCAAATATCCGAATCCTAGATTGCTGGAAGCAACACTTATAATCGATTTTAAGTGAACCTTGAAATCAAAATCCAGTGTTTTTCCTGAAGAAGGTAGCAAGTAATTTCCTAAGTACACAGGTAAACAAAGGAAATAGTAATGTCAACTTCGGATTACAAAAGGGGGTCGTATTAGAGCTACATCAGGCCTGAACGCAATAATATAAAGGGGGTCGTATTAGAGCTAAATCCGGGCTGAACGGATTAATAACAACATAGAAACGGAATAGTGCCTGCTAGCTTCAAATCAATTGAAATTTAATTAGGAGTCTACATATTAGGGTGGGTTTTAATATTTGGGGGAAAGGATTTTTTAAAATATTGAATTGCAAACATATCCCAAGCCTTAGGCCAGAGGGCTTAGGGCGTAGTGTTTAGGGTTTATGGGTTCCTCTGGGACCCCCCCCAAACAAGTGTTCCGTACTTGATTGGGGGCCCCCCGGATTATTCAGATCCGTACTTGTTTGGGGGGGGTTTATAATCAGAACCCCCCATTAGTCCTAGAAACTTGAAGATTACTAGGCTTTATCCTAAATCCTACCTCCAAAATCCTACACCCTGAGAGCCCTATGATGGGCAGAGGTGCCGTAGTTCCAGAAGATGGGCCCATGGTAGTCTCGCAGCTTGCCTCTGCGTTACTCGAGCCGACGCTGAAGGTGTGGGGTTATAGTCCCCCTTGAAAAGATAGAATTTGGCGCATGTGGGGATCTTACTATAACATACCCAAAGCCATATTCTATCTACTAAAGGGGACTATAGGGTTCAGGTGCTTGGCGCGTACCTCTGCCATGCGCTACTGAGATTAGGGATCGGGAGCAGGGATCTAGGGTTTAGGGTTCAGGGTTTAGAGTTTGGAGTATTGCACGTTAGCACGCTTTGCAGATACCGGCGAAAGCGTGGATGGCCTAAGATCTGTTCATAAACGAGGCAATCCCATTGGAAATGAGGGACATCCACATGGGCGGAGTGGCCTAGGTTGTGGTGGAGTACTTGATTTGACTGCATGGAAACAAACGCGGCCGCGGATGACCTCTATGTGTTGATGTGGTCACCGCGGGGTGACCCCAGCCAGTCTATCTAACTTATCCTTGACTAGACTTTGGCTGGGTATGACAGGTTTTCCTGCCAACCTCCAAAGTCTTTCGATGAAACTCCGTTAGTAATCAATACGAATGCTTGCCCCCTGAAGATCAACCAAGATATTTGCAAAATCTGCTAACTGTAGCGCCATGTTGTTTGATTGTGAGGGAATCTACGGTGTAGATCTAACGTAGATACGATACAGCAAACAGAAATACAGGCTCTAAACCCCAAACCCTAGCCTTCAGCACCTTGCAACGGGAGTACTCCACACACCCCTTGAACGCACGCCCGCGCAGATTATTGTAGCCAAGCCTCCAAACACACACCTCAACCCTCTAACACCCCAACCAGAAACGCCCAAAACCACACAAGTAGCATACCCCAACCCCCAATCTACCACCCTAAACCCTAAACACTAAACCTCTTATACTAATCAGGCAATGCAGGAAACGTTCGCGCGCACCTTTCTTCACGTCCTGCGCGATGGGGTTCATCTCCTCCTTCACTGCAACCTGACTTTTACAGGTCCAGTTTAGGGTTTAGGGTTTAGGGTCGTGGTTCAAGCAAGGGACTGCTGCGTTGCTGATAAGGATCATATATTAAGTGACTATAAGATGTAAGCCCTGCTTTCTACTATTTAAAAGATTGTGGTAAACTTAGATTGAGTTCCTGAACAGCAACCCAGTTTACGCTTTAGGGTTCACTTCAATGGCCACCCGGAACATGTTTAGAGACTTGGGCACCGAGACTTTCACTAAGGGTCCGCGGACTCAAATAATGGGTGTTTAGGACTCAAGTACTATAATCTGAGTGGTATTTGGGACCTAAAGGCATAATATTTGGGTCCTTGGACCCTTTGCGTGCCAAAGGAGAGTTTCCCAAAATGGCAGTACCGTACAAAACCATAGGAGTACAGCATACGGCTGTATAGGATTGAAACGGTTTCTAGGCCCCGAATTGGGGGTTACCTTACAAAACCATAGCAATACATGATATACATGTATGGGATTGAAAGGGTTTTCTGGGGGTCCTTATTATGGGTCGTATAGGAATGATTTTGGGAAGCTCCCAGATACATAGAAATTCTTTTGGACAAACTCCCAAATGTCAGGGCTCCAAGGGTCATCTGGTGGCCAAACATGGCCTCAAATACAGGGTCTGGTGAACGATGCTAGGAGATGTACCAGACCCCGAATCCTAAACACTTCGCCCCTGGGTAAAGCCCGGTTGAAGGCCATGAGGGTTCGGATGGGTGGATGACCCAACTTCTCCGGCGTCTTACCTTACCTTTGGTTAGCTAGGAATGAAGGAATGGATCCTTATAGTAGTACTCCCTATAACAACCCATTATAGTAGTTTGAATTGTCTTTTCCATTCCTTCATTCCCAGCTAACCAAGGTAAGTTAATTCAGCCTTGCTTGTGGGTTACGGCGTCAACCCCTTCCCCCTTGGGCCCTGAAACCAATCCCTAGAGCCTTGGAAGATCGGAAAACCTAAACATCTTAAACCCGTATGGCCCCAGGACCAAAGTTCTAGTATATTCCTTAAGTCATAGGTCCCCCTATATTGCCTCTACATCCCCCTGCAAGTCCCCGGAACCTAACTTGAGTCCGTAGCTCATACGGTTGGGTTTAGAGTAAACCCCCCACCCCAAACGCTCAGCTGAAAACGCCTAAGCCTCGGCAATCTCCAAGCCTCACAGGGTCCTTCAAAGTTTAGGGTTTAGGGCAGGTAGATAAAATCCACCCCAAAAGAGCTCTGAACGGAGCTTTGTTTGGGCCTTATGGGGGACAGGGCGATGAGGGTGGGGGGGTACTTGGAGGATCAGTGGTATAATAATCCCAAATATCCCCTTTACTAACCTACTTACTAAGTCCCCATGACCCTCGAAGTACTGTACTTTCGGATCCTACGAAAGCCGTGGCGAGGATCCTATAATAGGCTTGGCTCGCCCATAAACCCTAGACCGCAACCCCAAACCCAAACCCAAGTTCCCGACCCCCTAAACCCTAAACCATTAATCCCTAAAACCAAAATCCCAAAATGAGCTATAGTCTAAACTCCTAGTATCCCCCTTAATAACCCCTATAGTAGTCCCATGTCTAATCCCCTATATATCCGCTTTAAGGAGTTCAGACTATAGCTCAAATTGGGAAAAATCGCCAACCTCCCAAAACCCTGGAAGCTCTTAACCTCCATCTTGGGCTTCGTCATCTTCGGAATCTCGATGAGGCAGTTGAAGAGCTGGGGGGCAAGCGCGTTAGGGCGGCTAGGGTTTTAGGATTTAGGGTTTAGAGTGAGCTATAGTCTACAGTCATTAAAAGGGATTATATACGGATTAGGGTTTAGGGCCTAGACTCGTAAAAGGGGATGACAGAGGGAAATATATAGAGTATCATAGGGGGTATTTCGGGGGATGCTGGGAGTTTTAGACTATAGCTCATATGGGCATCTATCAGGATAAAATGCATGCGTACAAATATATATATATATATGTAAACATGGGGTTTAGGGTTTACTTATATATGTAACATTTGGGACTATATATGAATATGTTGGGATACATGGTCGGATCCTGGACTTGGGGCGTGGATGTAGGCTAGGCACGATTTTAACCCTCAACCATAACGCTCAAGCCTTCATATAACATTGATCCTCGAAAGCCTGTGATCTGATCCAATACGGCTCCTTGTATGAATGATGCTTTGTATAATTTCTTGAATACGGATCCTGCATTACATGCATGGGCGGGCATGCACGGAGATAATGAGGCCCGCCAACCCTAGACCCTAAACCTGAACCGTGTCTGGGGACCGTATAGGGATCAGTCACGTAGGGACCTAGATAATCAGAATTTCTTTTGTGGGTTGATAGTTTACTATAATTTTACAACGGTTTGAAGGAATCGTATTGGCAACCACTCAACTTCTACATGATCTGAGGGGTCGGACCCCCCACCCAGTAATAGCGGTGTAATATGCGTAGGTAGGGACCTCAGCACAATCATCCTGATTGGTGGGTGGGGGCCGAACCTAACCTATGGGTGGACACCTGACACTCAGCTTGCCCTAAACTGCAACGGTCGGTCAAGGAAACGTCGGTCAAGGGCTTACTTGCTCTCCAGCTTCAACAGCTGCTGTCTTAAAAAGAATTACCCGAAAGGGCCCGTTTGAAGGGGGAAGAGGGGTTATATGGGGCTCTACAGGTTACACGGGGTATTTAGGGTTTAGGTTTCATGGAGGACAGGGATTTTGCATGCCCCAACCGCAAAAAAACAAAGACCCTGTGGATATCAATGTTGTTCTCGCGTGCTCAGCATAGGGGTTAAGGTTACCAAAATCCCCTTCCCATTTCTATACGTTTGCCCGTCCTCCTTTTGGCGATTTACCGGCTGTGCAACGAGGGTTAACTAATCCTGCCGGGCTTTGTGCTTGGAGTTCACGCGCACGCTTCTAGACGAAGTTCGGGGAATGAGAAACAAGGAAGAATCCGACCCGGTAGTGTACTCAACCACAAGCTTCTGAGACCCCCTCCGTAAGCTCATGTTGTTGCATGTCGCTGAATACGCGATATTTTGGGGAAAGGGGCGGCTCCTCTTGCTTGGCGCCACAAAGTTAGCCCTAAACCCGAAGCCCCACAGACGTACTGGATGAACGGAGCCAACATGCCTCCCATCTTCGCTGCTCTTACTTGTCGTCAGAACCAAAGCCTTCAGGAGCCTTATCCAGTCGCGCTGCGACATCAAGGTAGTTGCTGCTATTATAGTTAGTAGAATACATTACAGTAGATTATGGTATATTATATTATATTGGTATACTATACTAAATTATCGTAGATTATGGTATATTATAATATATTAATGTACAGTATAGTAAAATATGATATTTTGTAATAAAACTCATGTAAATGATAGTATAGTACGTAGTCATCACCGCAGAGGGACGCTCGCAAGGGCCTCCCTCCTCGCCATCATCAAGACCTTGTCGGTGATGAAGGACACCGAATTGAGGACGAAGTCGTAAGCATGCTACTATACTATAATATACTATATACTATGATATACGAGAATATACTATAATATACTAAGTTGAACTCGGCCTTCTTGGAAGCCTCGCTGTCCCGGAGTTTGGGGCTTGTGGACAACCTTCTACTCTGAAAATCGAGGGGCCCAAAGGCATGTCCGGGCCTGCATATGATCCTAACACTGCGAGCCGTGTAAGCTAAACCTGAGGTTCAGCACCCAGAAGACATAAACACCCCAAATCCCTGCATGATCCCTATACGTCACAAGGGTCCCCAAGGCTTACCTACACTCCTATAATCTATACAATCCACAAAAATGCAAAGAAGGAATCAATACGAAAAGGCAAGCAAATTACTATGGTACTGGGGAATACATACATTCCCCAAAAAACCTTGAAACCCCAAGCCCAAAAACCTCGAACCGTAAACCCTGAACCCCCAAAACCTTAAACCCTAAACCTTCCAAAAACCTTGAGTCCTAAACCCTGAACCCCTGAACTCCCAAAACCTTGAACCCTAAATACTCAAGCCCATGTAAACTTTCCATTGCTCAGGCTTCCCGAATTTCCTTAGTTTTGAAACTTCTAAACCAAAATGACCCCCGCAAAGCCCCAGTAAAGGTTGGTTAATAAACCACCGCCTCCCTTCGCTCGCCTCGCCGCTCTTCAACGGGATGTCGTGCCAGGGCGAAATCTTGTTGCCATTGCCATCCTGTTGTGGCAAAAACAGGGTTTAGGGTTTTGGGTTTAGGGGATCATATTATGTAGGGGAGTGTTATCCATCCCATTATAGCAAAACTTAACATTTGAGCTAAGGTAGAAGGCTGAGGTCGTTCTAGCCATAGTGTGAACTCCAAATATCCCCCTTGATAACCCTTATGTTAGGGTTTACACTTCAGGGTCTAGCCTCCTGGCATCCCCCTTAATGTCACCCAAAATAATCCCCTATGTCATCCCCCAATATAACCCCTTTTCGGGAATTTGGATTACGGCTCACTTGGGTTTAGGGCTTAGGGTTTGGGGGGTGTAGTGGCTAAACTTCACTATGGGTTTAGGGCTTAGGGCTATCATCCTAGGCTCCTTCTATCAGAGGGGTTCACAGTTTTGTGCTAAACCTGAAATAAGGCCTTGTTAGGGTCTCTTCTTTATAAGCCACCTTTTACCAAAAAAGGATGTGCTTAGTCCTGGATGATGCAGACCCTGAGCAGGGTTCAGGGATTCTAGGGTTTGATTAGGGATGCGTTCGGCTTTAGTGTTTTTTTTGCAACACCTCTTTTAACCTCAGCACGAGATCAAAAACCTTTCGGCAGGCGTAAGTCCAAACTCCGTACTCCATAAACCCACTCACTGGCCACGAACTGGGACAAACACTGCCGACAGCAACAGCAGAACCTTCACGACGGACCCGCATAGCACTTATAGATGCCCTTCATGAGACCAGCGGTTCAGCTCTCTCCGTCCAGGTAGACCCATCACCTTTGGCCAAGACCTCGTAGAGGACAAGTTCATCCTCCACAGACTCAGCGGAGCCAGCGGCATGTTCAAATCCACCGGCACCAGGCACCGTATCTGCCCCCAAGGCATCCGCCACCGTCTCTGCTGACACGACATCAGCGCCAGAAGCACCACCACCCAGCGTGTTCGCAGCCAGGACTGCTTCCCCGGCGCCTTCAGCACTCTCCACTGAGGTCATCCCGCAGGTCCCATCAGCACGGACATTGTTGTCGATTCCATCACTCCCATCCAAAACAGCGCTTCCCACAACCACGGCAGCCACATGCTCCACTGTCTCCGCCTCAGGTCAATCACATCCTCATTGCTCAGCATGCCGTCATTCTCCCGGGTGACCACCTCACCGTAGTGCATGTCATAGGCCTCCTCATCCCTTTTTTCGTCGTCGGTCCATACTGAACCCTTCCTCCCCTGCCTGGGTACATGCTGAAGTCGCAGCGCACCCGCCAACGGTGCAACTCCCTGTCATCATCTTCTCCTGCTCAGCCTCGGTGCGCTGCCAACCAGTTCGGTGTCCGCCATCGTCACGATGGCCTTCGGCGAGGCAAAATACGCCGACACGACGGTACGCTGGCGGCGGGGCGGAAGCACGGAAATACACCTGAGTAGCGCCCACAGCGCCAGACCACTGCGTTTTGAACGCAGCTGCAGTGCCATGGCCAAAAGTAGGTCGTCTAAGACTGATAGGTCTACGAGGTCTCAGAAGAAACTGCAGGCTTTAGGGTTTAGGGTTTAGGGTTTAGTGGTTCAGGTTCTCCACAGTAGCGCAGACGCCCGATTAATGAGCCTATGCTGTCTAAAGCTTCAGGGCCCTGATATTGCGAGTCACATAATGTGGGGAAGCGCGTGTACCCCATGAGGGCTTGGAATTCTAGACCCCTAAACCTTAACCTCTAAACTCTAAACTGCTGGTTCAGGACTGAGGGTTGGCAGTTGGATTGAAAAGTTGAGGCAGGGTCTTTAACCTTTAACCGTGTGGCTTTAGGAACTTTGGTGCCATAAGCAACCAGGGCTTAGGGTCTAGGCTTCAGAAAAAATAGCTGACCCTAGACCCTGCAGATTGACCCAATGGCTGTTATGTGACTCTGGCAGGGTCCTTATCAAATTACAAAGGCTGGGCCAACAACGCCACTCTGCCGAACCTCGCTTCTATCCTCTTTGCTGTAGCTGTAGGTTCTGCTGTTCCCGGACAGACTTGATTGCTGGAAGTCTGAGGAAACGGACCCGTTAGCCCCGCATAGAAACACAACCCTAAGGTCCTAAATCCTAAGCCCTAGACACCACTGCTAAAAATCCTGGGCCGTCGGCACTAAGCCCCTCAAACCCTAAACCCTAATCCCTGAACCCTAATCCCTACATTTTAATCCCTAAGCCCTAATCCCTAAACCCTGCACCCAAGCCTTGAAGTGCATGCGGTACTCCGGAGTTCCCGCCGATCCGACAACCTCCGGCGAGTAGGAGGAGAAGAACCGGACCTTGGGCCGGGGCAAGGTTTTAAGTGGGGCATATATAGTCCCCCTTCTGTAGATAGAAGATGGCTTTGGGTATATTATAATAAGATCCCCATATGCCCCATGTTCTATCTACTTAAAGGGGACTTCTAGGTTTAGGGTGTAGGGCTTAGGGTTTAAGGGTAGAGGGTTTAGTTTATACGTAGGGATTATACAGGGGAGTACGTACTATGTGGCTTATTAAGAGGGGTACTAGGAGTTTGAACCATAGCTCAAATAGGTTTAGGGTTTAGGGTTTTTCGGTTGAGGGTTTAGGGTTTATGGTGTGGAGGTATTACCGGGATATAGAGGGGCATCATGGGGATGTTATAGGGTTTCATAGGGCTTATGGGGATATGCAGATGTAAAGATAGATGGATAAGGTATATAGGGATAACGGAAGAGACCATGCATAGTATTAAAACTAGCATCTGAGGGTTTGGAGTCCACAGAGGCTTGAAAGGCATCACGTAGGGCTACATATGGTGGGATTTGGGCTTAGGGACTTAGAGCTTAGTTGGGGGTGTTCGTAGGGTTTGTCGGGGCTTCAAGCAAGAGTTTAGGGCGTACGCGTAAGGGCCATACTGCTGGATGCATACAGCCTCTGCGGGGTTCACATACTACAGGGGCCTAAATAATTAATTTAGGGTTTTAGGGTTTGGGGTTTAGGGTATTATACGGGCCTAAATAATTACACGGGTTATATAAGGGTTCAACCGGGATTATAGGGGTAAAATATTGTGGTTATAGGGATAATGGAAAGATGGAAACTCCTATAATACAGGGTGCCCCAAATAATTACCAATATCATTTTGAGGTCCATTTGAGGTACCATAGGAATATGGAACCATAATATTTGTGATTTTTTAGCTGCCTATATATTAGGCATGTCTGCAGAAGGGAGCCAGCAGCATTCCTTTGGTCTTCCGCTGTTTTTGAACTCTTGCTAGCTTCCTCATTCTGGGTCTTCTTGGTGCAGAGTCTGAAGTTGAAGCATTCTGGGTCTTACTGGTGCAGATTTTAAGGAGGTTGAAGCTTCGAAGCCTTAAGCCACGAAACCTAGTCTCGAGTTGATCTCAAGACTCGAGGTGGCAAGGCTGCATTCATGGGTGCCGGGCATAAAGCGAGCCCCGTGAGAACACTGAGCTGTTAACCAGCCCTGAAGCTACGAGGTATTTCGAGGGGCCATGAAGGGGTCTGCTACCATTTCTTGAATCCATACCATAATATAATACATTATATAATACCGTAATACACCATTAAAAAAATAGGCCACTACTGTTTTCGGGGGATGGGGCCCTGACTGTCAAGCGTCCACTCAGGAACCGTAGGCCTGTGGCTGATCGTCGTGCGGCAAGCCGAGATATTATAATAGGGTTCAGGGTTTAAGGCTTGGGATTGAGGGTCTTAAGTCTTCGGGATTTTACGATGGGAGCAAGGCGCCTCAGAACCCTTGTGCAGGTGAACTTGCGATGCTGCCAAGGAATGCGCATGCGTGAAAGAAAACGTTGTACTCTTCCACATCGTCAATGGTCTGCACGGGGACATGGCCTCCCAAGAGCAGCCAGAGAGACTGCATTCAAGCCCAGTAGCCACTGTAGGCGTGGGAGCGCTCGAGAGATTCTTCTGGCAGCAGCCGAAACCCATCCAACCCTTTGGTCCTGGATGTTGCGGCTCCGAAGCGCATGTTCAATTGCATTCTGGGCCACATGCTTGACTTCTTCCTGCAGAGGGATTTAGGGTTCAGGGATGTGGAATAAGGTTGAGGGTTTAAGGCTTAGGGAAGTAGTTTACGGTTTTTGGGTATAGGCTTTAAGGTTTAGGGATTTGGGCTAAGGGTTTGAGATTCAGCGATTGAGGGGCTTGTCGACGGAAAGTCAAATGGAAAATGAAATGGAGACTAGGGTTAGTATACTGTTCTATTAGAATGAGGTGTAGAACAAGAATCTGAAAGCTTGGAGGTATCTAGAGTGCCGTGTTACATTGGGGGAGGGCAAGCCCTAAACCCCTGCCCTGAACCCTAAACTGCCCTTCTCCCCAAAAGCGGCCGGTATTGCGCCATCCCTCTATCTCTCGTCAAAACCCCCACCCAAGCTTGAAACTAGGTTGCTTTTAAGGAACTTAAATTAAGTTACTATAATACAGGGTTTAGGGTTTAGGGTTAACGCGATACGGAAGACATAGTTTTTTTTATACTCCCATTATGGCATCCTCTAAGCCCTAAGCCCTATATACGCGCAGAAGTAAGCTTTAACAATTGTCAGCTTGCATAGCTTGACTTTCTGGTTCTTAATAGGGAATATGGGACTACAATCCCTGCATACTCCCCATAAAATGTACTCCCTTATTCCCTATGCAGAACCAGTAAGTTGACTGTTTGGACTTACAAATTCTTAGACATTGTCACGCCCTGTCATACCTAAACCCTCAACCCTAGACCCCAAGCCCTCAAAGCTTACGGTACCTGTCCCCGAAGTTCTGCCAGATGAGATCTTCTGCTGTTGTGCGGTTTAGGGTTTAGGGTTTACGGGCTCTGCCAGAGATTAACGCATACTGGCGCTTCGTCTTATTAGATGTTGGGGGTTTGGCTTTTAAGGTTGAGGGCTTTGACAGCTAACTTCTAGCCGCTACATACCTGTGACACCAACTACGTGCAGTTTAGTAGCAATCCCTCCCTATGCTGTAGGTATACCCAGAAAGCTGTATGTAATTGGGGCTATAGCCACTTTTTAAACCCAAGGAATACTCCTTTGCCGCTTCTCCCTGACTTTGCTCAGGTAGGGTCAGCCGATCATCAGCATTCTGGGTTGGGGGTTTTTCACAAGCCCTGGCTAGGGTTTAGGGTTGGGACTGAGTGGATCTATTTTGCAGATTGTAAAGAGGTCCGCATGCGTCTTCGAAAGAAACTGTATATATATATACAGGAATCATGTTCACACATGCGCTTGCTATAAGTATGTTGAATATTCAGTGAAACTAGGTTGGCCCCTGAAGCCCTACACGCTCCTGAGGTCGACTTGCTTTAGCTAGAAATTAAGGTCCAGACGGCTGGATGCGCAGCTTCTGGGCGATCCTTTCGTACCGCCTCGAAGGATGCCAGCACCAAGCACTCGTGCTTGCGGAGCTTTCAGATCTGAGCTTCGAACTGCATCGGCTTTTTGAGCAGAACTTTCTTCGAGTTCTGTCCTGGCTTGCAGTGGACGAAGGCCTCAGTTCTTGATCCGCAACATGCAGGACGTGATATGTGACCTGGGCGCCATGCTCCACGGTAGAAGTCCCACGGGTTCATGTCATCTGGCCGGATGAGCTCGAGCCGCATCTCTTTCTTGTATGCCTGTTCGGGCAGAGTTTACCATGATGGGCTTGTGAACTGTTAGCCCGGCCTTCATCTGGACACAGATCTCCCGCGGCGTAAATCGTGCCTGGTACTAGTGGCTTGATCAGAATACATGTTTGCACGCTAGCTGAGGATGTACAGCAGGGTGTGTAAGGTTCCGACCAACGGCATCTCAAGTTGACGCCCCCCAGGCTGTAATGTAGGTATTTTCCCCTCCTAGCAGTGTCATGCTTATCCGGCGGTTAAATGATGCATCGCATCATGCTTGTCATGGATGGACCCTACTGATGGCTCTGCTTGCTCATGTCGATCGCGCTGCATCTAGCTTGGACGTTTGGTCTAGCTTCGAGCAAACTATGGCTTTGCGTCAACACAGATACACATTACAGCGCATGCCGCTCGGAGCTTAAGAGGCTTAAGGCTGCGGAGCTCAGTTACCTCCGAATAACACCCCCGGCTCTTTGAGTGAAGCTGGAGTCCCCACGCGAATCCTCATGCACGCGTGCAATGTTTTGCAGTCCCTCGCTGCGCGCTCGTGATCAGCTCATCTCTCACTTGGACCTCTGATTGGCTGCGTCAGGAATTGTTGCGCGCTCCTTACACCGCGCTCGTTGCTTTCAAACTCGATGCTGCCACGATCCGGGTAACCTTCTTTGGTGCGACCTTGCGAGTCGACGCTCGGGGCTTAAGGGGCTTGGATGTAAATTCGCAGATACCCCCGAGTATCCGCGCCGTGCAGTTTCGTTCGTCACGGCTTTACATCTGTTTCCCACCCGACGAAGGTCACTGAATTCTGAACCGGAAGAGCTAGAACTTCAAAGAGTGTTACTTGAGTGCTCGTAAATTACTTGAAGCCGTACGGACCCCTGGAAGACGATCACCCTGCCACTGCTCGCCTTGTTTTGCTCACGCCGGCGCGTGTGCTGACTCCACCCCTCATGTGGTCGAAGACGCGCGCGACCTCACCTGACGAAACGATTTGGAAATCACTCCTGACGCTCCGCCTTCTGAGGGCGCCACCGTCTCGCTGACGGTGACTGCGATGTTATCGCCTTAGTCGAAATTGTCTCCATGCGATCGAGCTGATTTCGACTGAGTGCCAGACCGTCTTCGAAGCACCAGCTGGTATTGCTGGTGTTGAAGCTGGCGCCCACGCGAACGGTTGCCTGGAGCAATGAACAACTGTATTAGTTACACATGTTGCTCACTGCGTCTAAGCTCGCGGCTGACCTCTTTCCCCGTGGTCATGTCCACGATGTGTGCGGAGTACTGCAACCGCTCTCGGCGCGAGACATAATCCAGCATCATGACCCAGGTGTAGTCTTCGATGTACGTAGTCGTTGTGGGGGACCTGCGGGCAAACAAAAGATTCGGGTCGTGGTCCGGGTGTTCTAGGGCGCTGACCTCCCATGTCAGCCGGCGTCCCGCCACATTGTAGACCTCTATGATGATGGGGATCCTCACGAAATGGATTGGGATCTTCGCTAGTTGCTAGGTTCCCCATGTAAACCTATGACCTTAAACCTCTAAACCCTAAACACTGATAATTCCCAAGCTGACAAAAATCTGCCGTCAATCGTTTCCCTGGCGTACGCCTAGGATAGTGCTTCTGTGAAGGCCCCGGACAAATGAGGGTTTCCCAAAGTTA